TTCTATGCTGATGCAAACAAATGAGGAAAGGCACGTTATAAATTAGGACATTTAAGTAAAATATCTAAAAGTCTTTATGAGTCTGTTCAAAAGTTAGAATTGTATGCCATTCTCATGGTATTATTAGATTTTCTAGAACCTCTTTATATAGCTACTTATTCTCAATATGCAGAAAGAGTTGTTTTACATATTGAAACTACTGAACTTATTCCAGATGATTCAGAATTAACTTTGTTATTTATTCAATTACAAGAAATTATCAGAAATAGAAATAATCCTTTGTATATAATACATAACAGATCCCATATGGATCTACAGGTCCTATAGCACAAGAAATTGATAAAATTGATCAGCTATTGGTAGGAAATGTGCTAGAAGCCTCAAAATTTCATAAGATATGCATGTTAATAGCAAGGGTTTGAAAAAAGATTTTTCCATCACTTAGCAACAAGCCAAGGAAATTATAAGGAAATGTCCTACTTGTTCTTTGTCTAACCAAACTCCACCACCTTCAGGAAGTAACCCAAAGGGTACTCAAATTAATGGACATGTGTTTCATTTTGGAAGATTAAAATATATACACCATACCATAGATACACATTCAGGATTTTAATGGGCAACTGCTTTGAGTTCTGAAAAGACTGATTCTGTAATTACACATTTATTAGAAGTTATGGCCATCATGGGGAAACCTGTACAAATTAAGACTGACAATGCTCCAGCAAATGTCTCTAGTAAAATGAAACAGTTTTTTGTATATTATAACATAAATCATATTACAGGAATACCACATAATCCTACAGGGCAAGCAGTTACAGAAAGATCTAACCACATTCTAAAAGATATGCTTAATAAACATAAAGGTGTAATAAAGACCCCCAGAGTTTGACTGCATAATGCTTTATTAACTTTACATTTTTAAATGCTAATGAAAAGGGAACAACAGCTTTGGAGAGACACTGGATAATAGAAAAAAAAAACTGCTGAATTAAATCAGCCTATATACTTTAAAGATGTGTGGACCTCAGAATGTAAACTAGGATATGCATTATGTTGGGGAAGTGGTTTTGTTTTTGTTTCCACAGGAGAAGAAAGACTGGATACAATCAAAATTGTTAAAGATTAGCTTCAAACAGGAGAAACCTCTTGATTAGAAGAGGTAATAGTTCATTAAACAGTGTGACCATTCAATCTTGTTGAACAATAAGTCTAACAAATGCTTTTCATTTGATCAGATATAACTTGCAAAAAAAGGGAAACTCCCCAAAGTTAGGGTTGGGGCAAGGTTTTGTTTTTGTTTTTCCAGGAGAATGAAGGCATCCAACTAAGGAATCTGAAGACCACTGAACAAATAAGACATCTGAAGAAGAAGGACGAATCATCCAGAAAAATGTTCTGAGAAAAAGAGTAAATTGGCCTAATGGTATAGCACATTTCCAACAGGATAAAATTTCATAAATCTTCCAAAATTTTTTTTGCTGTTCTCTATAGACTATAAGGCATATTGTAGCTTGAGTTTTCCTGACTGGCCCAAGTCAGGACAAATCTCTATCACCTGCCAGTCCCACAGCCCCTCAGACCCAACCAAGTAAACACAGAGACTTATATTGGTTACAAACTGTATGGCCGTGGCAGGCTTCTTGCTAACTGTCCTTACAGCTTAAATTAATCCATTTCCATTAATCTATACCTTGCCACATGGCTCGTGGCTTACCGGCATCTTCACATGCTGTTTGTCATCGTGGTGGCTGGCAATGTCTCTCTGCCTCAGCCTTCCACTTCCCAGCTTTATTCTCCTCCTTGTCCCGCCTACACTTCCTGCCTAGCCAATGGCCAATCAGTGTTTTATTTATTGACTAATCAGCAACACATTTGCCATACAGAACATCCCACAGCAGCATATGGTCTTTTTGTAGTCCCAGTTCAATTAAAAATTAAAGCTGGCTTTGGAGTTGGAGCATGGCTCTCTCCTTCTCTAAACCGAAGCATGCTTGTTAAAGGAAAATCCAAAATTTCTGTCTCATGCCATAAGGTCACTTGATATGGAACAGAAGAAAAACCAAAGTTAAGGGACTATTCTATTGCCACTTAACTCATAATTCTTTGGTTTTATTTTGACTCTTTAAAACATTTTTAAGGTATAAATATTATCTCAAAATTTATAAAATTAATATATTTTAAACTTTTTGTCATGATATTAATGGTCATACAGAGAACTAACTAATTCTAGAAAAAGGCTTCATCTAGCTTCCTGTACATGATTTTGGGTTTGAGTCTCTATCAGGTAATTAGGAATTAAGTTTTCGTACTCTGGATGTACGTAACAAATTGTGGTCCTTTAACCTCTTTGAGATCTACTACATATGACATTTAAAATGTTTAAATTTTCTGCAGTGAACCATGATCATTCCTAACAGTGACCTTTGAAGTCTCCAAATGAGGATGGGGCCCCATAATGAATTCTATCTGGACTATGGTAATACCACTAAGCTGACAAACACCACGCAAAGATTGGCTTTGGACTATAAACTGCTCAGTACAATTGCAAGGTGGCTAGCTGAGATGGTCCAGCCTCGTGCACTATTCCAGCCAGGATTTCAGATAAGCCCTACACTTTCCCTTTACACGGAGACTGGCAACAAATGATGCAGCTAGCTCTCCCAGGACTTGACTAGTATCTCAATTTTCTCAGGGTCCCCTAGAAATGCCATTACCACCAGACAACAGGAAGGAATTTTAAGAACACAATACTCCACATTCCCAAGAGGTGGGGTGGGTGTTTTTTGGTCATTCAGTGGGTGGTTATGGATATCTGTCATCATTTAGGAGGGTTGATAACAAGTTGTTATTGGGAATGGTCAGGGAAAAAGCTAAACACAGGAGATTAGATTCAGGGATCTTGTTTTGAAAAGAAAAAAGGGGGATATAGAAATGATAGGATAAAACAGTAGATTATTGAGTCTATTTTTAAACCAAAAAAGCAACTACTAATCTTAAATATTTTACATTGGTATGGGTTTTTGTACATTGATACAAATTTGAGGTTATTTTTGTTATAGTGTATATATATTTCTATTCTTGTTTAAGATATTTTTGTATATTGATACAAATTTAAAGTTATTTTTGTTAGAACATACTGTACATATGTTTCTACTCTTGTTTAAGGTATTGTACCTATGAAGCTCATTTAACAATGTAATGCAAATTTCTAGTTCTTAAAAGTTATTATTATAAACTATTTAGGATAATAAAGAAATGCAGATTAGTAGTTAGTCACCTATTACAATCAAACTTGTAGTCATGTTGGGTATGTTTTCAAGGTCAAACAAAGATACATTTTAGCTGGATATGTGATCTTCAAACACTTCAGAGAGGTATAGAATATGACATTTAAGATGTTTTAACAATATAAGGTTTTTTATAGCAATGAGACATGTCTGCTCCTGGCAGCACCAACTACTTCAGAGACGATGATGGACATTAAAGAAACTCCATATGGTGTTTGCTTTCTTTGTTACAAAAGTTGGACACTGGGCAAGAAATTGACCTTGCCTTGACTGATGACAGTATGCTGTCCAGGTTGGACAAGGACACAAAAGAAAGCAACTGTTGAACTCTGCTAAGACAAGGTGGAACAGTCCTTCAAAATTCCTGATTCACAGGAAGGTCTGTCAGTTCTATGCCTGCAGGCTGAAGATGGATGCCTCAACATTTCAGAGGAACCTTGGTAACTGTCCAGGCAGCCTGTTGTTTATGTCATTTCTTAATTTTGGAAGTTGCTTGCTCTGCACTTCCTGTTTACTCAGGTAATATATCCTCAGGTCTTTGATGGAGTTGAAGACTAGATAGTTATGTTATAGTTTTCCTTGTTATCAAATTTAGAAAAGAAACTCACAAAAGAGGTGTAAAGCATATAAGGTTGAGAGACAAAAAAGATAGTTTGGGGTTGGTGATACAAGTTAGGATAGAAAGTGAATTAGATACAATACTGTGGACTCACCAATATAGGATAGATAATGGAGTATTTTCTCTGAATTTGCCAAATGCAAATGGACTGGACATGAGTTAATGTAATTCTTACCTGTATATATTTGTATATAATTATTGTACTTACTGTATATAGTTTTACTATGTCTGAGTTAGAAACCTTCCCTTTCTATTTAGACAAAAATGTGGGAATGTTGTGTTATATTTTGATTGTATTCTGACAATAAAGTTTGTTTTGAATCAGAAGGTGAAGCTAGCCACTAGCTGACCAAAGTTAACCATACAAGTTTTGGAGAACTGAGGAGGTAGTAAGGCAGGGCTTAGTGAGGATCTCAGTCCTTTCAGAGGAAGGAATGGAAGAGGTAGGAGGTCACTGGTGGCTTCTCTGCATCTTCTCTGATCAGATTCTTACCCCAATATCTGACTCCTGATTTTTTATTGATAAAGAATAGTTAGATAAATGTATCAATGAAGTTTTTTAAAAAATCATATCCTAAACATGTTGGACACAGTGATAATCCATCAAGGCTATGTTTTATAATTTTGATATTCAGAAGATTAACACTTAAGGTATTACTGATATGGTGAGCTTAAGTCTGCCACTATTTTGATTCTTCTGCCACTAAATATACTATTTTAATACCTCTGTTTCCCTTACCTACCGGTGAGTTGTCTAAATATATTTCTATAGAATGTCTAATTCGACCATTTGGTACGATTTGAAGACACCTATTATTCTTATGTGAGTTTTCACAAAGAACTGATTACTAGTGTCTTGCCATATGGAAGTACTTGCTTTCAGTAGCAATTTAAATCAAGTTCTACAGAAGCACTGCTCAGTTCTAATGCCACCATTTTATATCTTCTTTATATACTTCTATATATACACTGGGGCACATTCATTTTTAATGTTCTAATTTCTGTCAGATTGTTTCATGTATAATTGACTTTGTATGTTTGAATGCAAGGCAGTGCTTCTAGCTAGCCAGAGATAACTGCAAATACAGACTTACTTTTATTGAAGAATGTGCTAACCATAAAGGCAAAGCATATGGACGCAATGGCATAACATGTAAGAAAGACAAAGATGAAACTGCAGTCACTGTATCGAAGGATCGGCTCCTCTACAATCTGCAATAAAGCAATCAAGACATCAGATAAGGTATGCTATAAGCAGTGTCATGTAAACACAAGGAAAGAGACAAAAGTATGGTCCCTAGTGAAACAGATCACACTACCCAGCTGGTGGGACTCAAAAGACAGGAAGTTATCATCTTGCTGAGAGACTCAGCAGCATCTGAGTTTTCTAATAGGGTCAGAAAGAAAGAAACAAAGAAAGAAAGAAAAAGAAAGAAAGAAAGAAAGAAAGAAAGAAAGAAAGAAAGAAAGAAAGAAAGAAAGAAAGAAAGAAAGAAAGGAAGAAAACAAAAATCAACCAACCAACCAAAAAACCATTTTATTTTACTGTAAGCCTGGGAACAGTAAGTCCATTGCATGATATCTCTCTTTTCACTGGACTGTGTGGCAGACTCAACCCATTGAAACTCACCTGCTTGCTGGAGTAGTCATTTGCCATGTGTACTTACAGTACACTTGAAATACAGCTGGGATGAATATGGAACTCTATTTTATTTTTTAAAAGACATTTTAAATTAAAAAATACAATACTGCTCAAAATAGATTATGTATTTCCTATAAAAACCTAATGTCAGAATTGGGATGTATAGTAACATAAAACACACTAGATTTTGAAAACAATAAAAATAAGAATAAACATTATTTTAAAAATGGATACATGGTAAAAAAATTTTGTAAATAGTTGAGCTAAATATCATTAAAAGAATGTTTCCTGTTTCTCCTATGTTTAAAAAAATTTTAGTAGGTAGTTTTAATATCATATATGTGATTAATTTTATGTCTGTTGGACAACGTGAAACTGGATACTTGCCTGGACAAACAGTAATGCACATATCAAAAGGATAATGATGACATATAAAGGGAAAAACGTGAAGAAATAGCCAGCCCAGATGATCCAATTTCTAAGCCCAATTATGAGCTGGTATTCCTGTAGGACAGTCAACATAAAATAAGCATTTTATATGTCTGGCAATTCATAGTGCTTTCACACATCATTTTTTAAATTTTTTTTACTATAAATGCTATAAAAATGGTTAATATTATCTCCATTTTAAGAATGAGAAAAAAAAACCAAGGCTTAGAAGTCTATCAAAATTTATTCAGTAAGGTCAGCATTTCTCTTAATATATATTTTTTTCTGAGTTCAGAAATCTATTTCAATTCTAAATCTGGGATTTACAAAATAAAAACAATTTCAAATTATTTTAAGGGCTTTTTCATACATCCTTAGTGTCATTTATTCCTTTTACCCCCTTCTCCTTTTGTAAGGAAAAAATGTGTGTGTGTGTGTGTGTGTGTGTGTGTGTGTTTTGAATAAAGTTATGCTACTTGGAGTGATAATGCTCCCAAGAGCTGGAGACTATCTAACAAAGTCCCCAAGAGCAGTAAGAGCAGGCATGGGAAACCCACCCATTGAGCAGGCTCCCTCCTTCCACTGTGGGATCTGAAGATTGAACTCAGGTCATCAGGCTTGTGCAGTAAGCTCTTTTATCTAACAAACCATCTCACTGGCCTTCAAATTAAATCGTCCAGCACTAAGAAAATAGCCCCTATAAAAGCTTTACTTCCAGGATATTAAGAGAAAGGCATCGATGTAGCTTTTTCCCCTACTGGTATTTGCTTTCAAGATTTTTTTTCTGTGCTTTTAGTCTTTAGAAATTTGACTATAATGAGCCGGTGTGCATGCGTGCCTCTGTGTGTGTATGTGTGTGTGTGTGTGTGTGTGTGTGTGTCTGTCTGTCTGTCTGTCTGTCTGTCTGTGTCTGTGTACAGATGTGTGCACACTTACGTTTATGTAATGTTTATCTTTGTGTTCTCTGAGTTTCTTGCATCTGCATTTTAAAACGTTACTAATTTTGGGAAATTCTCCCAGTATTTTTAATTCTTTTTATTTTCTCACTTTTAGGAATGCAATTATATGTGTTATATCATTTGATATTGTTCCTTTACTTTTTGGATGCTTTCTTCTGAAATTTTACATTTTTCTCTCTACATTTCAGTTTTTGTAATCTCAACTGTCTTGAGTTCATTTTTTCTAGTTCTTTCCTTATTTTACTTATCTATAGATTGTAACATGAATCTTAAAAGTTCTTATTAATTGAAAAACCTGGAGCCAGGTATTGGGGTGAAAGTTGAAAGATCAAAGAAGCAGAACAAGCCACAGCCAACCTTACCTCGACAACTCCTCAGCTAACCTTGTTTCCTCAGACTGAAAGTCTCTGAGTCCTCACCCAAATGGATCTCAGCTGAACTGCTTAAAAAGCCTCTAGTTCCTGGTCCTCAGGCCTTATATACCTTTCTGCTTCCTGCCATCACTTCCTGGAATTAAAGGCGTGTGTCCTTCCCAAGCAAAGACATGAGATCTCAAGTGCTATGATTAAAGGTGTGCCACCATGCCTGGCTCTGTTCCCAGTGTGGCCTTGAACTCAAGAGATCCAGATGGATCTCTGCCCCCTGAGTGATAGGATTAAAAGTGTGTGCCACCATGCCTGACTTCTATGTCTAATTTGGTAGCTGGCTCTGTTCTCTGATCCCCAGATAAGTTTTATTGGGGTGCACAAATAAAATATCACCACAATGGATAAACCTGATAAAGGCACTCCTAAGTACTGTTGGGATGTTTTCTTTTGAAAATTTCATTTATGGGAATACATAGGCTGTTTTCATTCAAGTATGTAGTGTACTTTGACCACCTCTGTATCTTTACCATACTGCAACAAAGGCACATTTTAGGTACAACTATATATGAACGTCATGATTCCAGTGAATCTCAGAAATTAAGATTGCTGTAACGAATTCTGGGGCAGCAGAGATGGCTCAGCAGGCAAAGGTGCCTGTTGCCATGCCTGACAAGCCTAACAACCTCAATGTGATCCATAATAAGCACATGATAGAGAGAACTGACTCTTGCAAGTTGTCTGCAGACTTCTATACATGCCATGGAGCATGTGGGTAGGTAGATAAACTAAATAAAAATGCAAAAAATACCCACAAAACCCCAAGAATTTTGGATAATTCAACACTTACAGTCTTTAGAATATTAATCACAGTTAAAATACCTGTCTGATATGTCCAACATCTATATATTTTTAAATTTCTTGAGAATTTCATATATGAATACTGTATTTATATCATTTTCATCCCCTTTCTTCCTCCTCCAGCTCCTAATGTGTCCAACACCCATTTCCTGAAATTCATGACTACCTCTTTAATTTTTGTTGCCATGTAAGCACATGTGCACACACACACACACACCCTACTGAGTCCATTCACTTGTTCCTCAGATGTACAGAAGTCTAGGGCAGACCACATGGGACTGGATAACCTAGCACAAGGCTTCTCCCTGGGAAAGAACTGACTTTATCTCAGCAGCCATTTGATTGAATGTGACTCTTCATTTAGGGGTGGGGCTTTGTGAAATTTCCCCTACCTATGTCCAACATCTGTGTCTTATCTAAGTCTATTACTGATGATCAACTTTTTTTTGATTGTTTTACTGTTTGTTGATTTTTCATTTATTTAGTAACTTTTTTTGTTCTTGTTGAAAACTTGAACATTGTGAAAGTAAATGGATACTGATGTTAATGGACCAGTAGTGTTGGGACTGATGTTAATTTATCCTTGAACCAGACTGTATTTGAAATTAATTGCTGCTCTAAGTATAAAAGACTTCAAGTTCATCTAGTAATATTTTTGTCCTCCTCCTTGACTTCAGGTTTTCTTCTATGTTGCTTTCCTGTTTGTCTTTGAAGCTTTTCTAGCTTGTGAAGTTGGTATCATCAAGACTCACTCTTCTGCATTTGTGTCTCTTGCTGCTCTGTTAGAATATAACCAATATTCAGAAATTCTGAATATATAGAAGGAGGTAATTAACTTTCCAAAAGATATCCACAGGCTGTGTGTGTACATGCATACATAAATACATATATATATATATGTACTTTTTAAAACAGAAACTATCACAAAGTAAGTGATATTACCTTTAATCTTTTTTCCTTTTCAAACACAATGGATCGTGTGATGGAAAGAACAATGGAAGAGAACATAATTATGAACATCAAAGGGATGAAAGGACTGGAGATCCAAAGCAATTTATCCTGAGGATGAGCTGGATATGGAAATCTCTGTATGAGAATGTTAGTTTCATCAAATAGCTTTTTCCCAGCACCGATTTCATGATATAACATAATGCTCTTATCCACGGCATGCTGTACTGCCAGGAATCCTTCCCTGATATACCCTGTGTGAGAAAACTCATGGTCAAATAAAACAGATTAGAGTAACTCAGACATGTGATGAAGGAAATGCAAATAATCTTTAGCTTGCAACCTACAGAATTTACCACAGATTTGACATAAAAGACATTTCCTTGGCTGAATGTGTTTGTCTCTTCCCAAAAGTAAAATATTAACATTAATAAAACTGGCAAGCGGCAAGTCCCCAGCAGCCAGCCAGCACATAAGAGAACCACCTCCAGGTTGCGCCACAACTGCCGCCACCACCAATTGAGTTTTATTTCCACTGCCACCCAACCCCACCACTTGATCATCCTCTCAGTGGCCAGCCATTCCCCCAAACTCCAGCAGACTCCATAGGCACAGGCACAACCCATATCAGTTGGAAGAAAAGTCCTCAGCAGCCAGTCAGCAGGTGAGAGACCTGCCTCCAGGCTGCACCACCACAGTCACCCACTGGATTCTCTTCCCTCAAGACCCAATCTGCTGCCCAACCCCAACCACCAGATCATCCTCCCAGTGTCTAGCTGGCCCCCAAAAACCCCAGCAGACTCTGTAGGCACAGGCACAACCCACACCAGTTGAAAGAACAGGTGAATTATTGGCCTCCCAGATGAACTGCCACGACCTCTAGATCCTAAACCCCTGGACTTATTCCATGCCCCGCTCCCATCTCAGTACCAGCAAGGCAGCTGAGCCCTGCCCCCAACTGGTGGAATTCAGCTGCTCTGGTGCAGTCCCCAGCTGCCTGCCAACAGGGGAGAGACCTGCCTCTAAGCTACACAACCACCACCCTCTGGATTCTGTTCCCCCAAGACCCACTCCACCACCCAATCCCACCTACTGATCATCCTCTCCATGGCTAGCCCTCCCCCGAAACCGCAGAGGCACAGGCACAACCCATACCAGCTGGAAAAATAGATTCCACAGGCACAGGTACAGCCCATATCAGTCAGAAGAACAGAAGGATTCTCTGGATCTAGACACCCAACCCCTGACAAACCTCACCTGAGAAAATTGTAATGGACATGAAAACCTGCCAATCACCAGAACCCTTGGGCATTCAGAACAAAAGACAATAAAGAAACAGATAATAACGGAACAAAATACCCTTCCAACAAAGACAACACAAGAATCAACACTCAGAGCTATAATCATCCCAAACCCAGACCTATAAATGCCAGTGTAAGAATACATTCAACAACAGAAAGGACAATATGGCACCACCAGAACCCAGTGATCTTACAACAGCAAGACCTGAACATTCCAATGCAGCTAAAGCATAAGAAAATGACCTTAAAAGAAACTTTATGATGATGACAGAGGCCCTTAAAGAGGAAATGAAAAAATCCTTTAAATAAATGGAGGAAAAGATAAACAAAAAATTGGAATAAATCAATAAATCCCTTTAAGAAATCCAAGAAAAAAAAACAAGCAAATAGGTAAAGGAAATGGTTCAAGACCTGAAAATTGAAATAGAGGCAATAAAGAAAACACAAACCAAGGGAATTCTGGAAATGGAAAATCTGGGTAAGAGAACAGGAACTACAGCTGCAACTATCACCAACAGAATACAAGAGATGGAAGAGAGAATCTCAAGTGTTGAAGATGCAATAGAGGAAATAGATTTATTGGTCAAAGAAAATGTTGAATCCAATGAATTCTTAACACAAAACATCCAGGAAATCTGGGACACCATGAAAAGACCAAACCTAAGAATAATAGGGATTAGAAGGAGAAGAATCCTCAAAGGCACAGAAAACATATTCAACAAAACCAAAGATGAAAACTTTCCCAACCTAAAGAAGGACATGCCATAAAAGTACAAGAAGCTTACAGAACACTAAAGAGACTGGACCAAAAAAAAAAGTCCCCTTGCCACATAATAATCAAAATACTAAACATACAGAATAAAGAAAGAATATTAAGAGCTGCAAAGGAAAAAAGCCAAGTAACATATAAAGGCAGACCTATTAGAATTACACCCAACTTCTCAATGGAGACTATAAAAGCCAGAAGGTCCTGGACAGATGTTTTGCAGATACTAAGAGACCATGGATGCCAGCCTAGACTAATATGCCCAGCAAAATTTTCAGTCACCACAGACAGAGAAAACAAGATATTTCATGACAAAATCAGATTTAAACAATACCTATCCACAAATCCAGCCCTACAGAAAGTACTAGAAGGAAAACTCCAACCCAAGGAAGTTAGGTACACAAATGAAAAATAGATAATTTTACACCAGCAAAACTCAAAGAAAGGAAACACACACACACACACACACACACACACACACACACACACACACACACTCTACTACCACTACCACCAAAACAAAAAAAATAACAGGAATTAACAATCACTGGTCATCAATATCTCTTAATATTGACAGACTCAATTTGCCAGTAAAAAGACACAGGCAAACAGAATGGATATGTAAATAGGATCTACCCTTCAGCTGCATACAAGAAACACACCTCAACTTCAAAGATAGACACTACCTTAGAGTAAAGGTTGGGAAAAGATTTTCCAATCACATAGACCTAAGGTGCAAGCTGGTGTACTTATCCTAATATCTAACAAAATAGACTTTAAACTAAATTTAATCAAAAGAGATGGAGAAGGACATTTCATATTCATCAAAGGAAAAAGTCCATCAAGATGAAGTTTCAATTCTGAACATCTGTGCCCCAAATACAAGGGCACCCACATTTGTAAGTGAAACATTATTAAATCTTAAATCACACATCAAACCCCACACACTAATAGTGGGAGACTTCAACACTCCACTCACCAATGGACAAGTCTGTCAGACAGAAACTTAACAGAGAAATAAGGGAACTAACAGACCTTCTACAGAACATTCCACCCTAACACAAAAGAATATACCTCCTTCTCAGCATCTCATGGAATCTTCTCTAAAACTGACCACACACTTGGTTACAAATCAAATCTTAACAGATACAAAAAAATTGGAATAACCCCCCTATATCTTATCAGATCACCATGGGTTAGCGTTCAACAACACAAACTACAGAAAGCCTACAAACTCGTGGAAACTGAACAAACCTCAACTGAATTACCAACGGGTCAAGGAAAATATAAAAAAAGAAATTAAAGACTTCCTAGAATTCAATGAAAATGAATCCATAACATACCCAAACATATGGGACACTATAAAAGCAGTGCTAAGAGGAAAGTTCACAGCACTAAGTATCCACATAAAGAATTTGGAGAAATCCCACACTAGCTGCTTAACAGCACACCTGAAAACTCCAGAACAAAAAGCAGAAAATTCACCCAGGAGGAGTAGATGACAGGAAATAATCAAACTCAGGGCTGAAATCAACAAAATAGAAACAAAGAGAACAATACAAAGAATCAATGAAACAAAAGAGCTGGTTCTTTGAGAAAAATCAACAAGATAGACAAAACCTTATCCAAACTAACTAAAAGGCAGAGAAAGAATATCCAAATTAACAAAATCAAAAATGAAAAGGGGGATATAACAACAGACACTGAGAAAATCCAGAGAATCATTAGGTCATACTTCAAACACTTGTACTCCACAAAATTAGAAAATCTAAAAGAAATGGACAATTTTCTTGATAGGTACCACATACCAAAATTAAATCAAGACCAGATAAACAATTTAAATAGACCTATAGCCCCTAAGGAAACAGAACCAATCATCAGTTACCCTGGTAACCAAACCACACAAAGATGCAACAAAGAAAGAGAATCACAGACAAATCTCCCTCATGAACATTGATGTAAAAATAGTATAATACTGGCAAACCAAATCCAAGAACACATTAAAAAAAATCATCCACCATGACCAAGTAGGCTTCATGCCTGAGATGCAGGGATGGTTCAACATATGAAAATCTGTCAATGTAATCCACCATAAAAACAAACAAAAGAAAACAAACCACATGATCATCTCATTAGATGCTGAAAAAGCCTTTGGCAAAATCTGACACCTGTTCATGATAAAGGTCTTGGAGAGATCAGAGATACAAGGAACATACTTAAACATAATAAAAGCAATACACAGCAAGCCAACAGCCAACATCAAATTAAATGGAAAGAAACTCAAAGCAATTACACTAAAATCAGGAACAAGACAAGGCTGTCCACTCTCTCCATATCTATTCACGTTCTATCTAGAACAATAAGACAACAAAAGGAGATCAAGCAGATACAAATTGGAAAGGAAGAAGTCAAACTTTGGCTATTTGCAGATGATTATGACAGTATACATGAGTGACCCCAAGAATTCTACCAGGGAACTCCTATGGCTGATAAACACCTTCAGTAATGTGGCTGGATACAAGATTAACTCAAAAAATTCAGTATCACTCCTATATACAAATGATAAATGGGCTGAGAAAGAAGTCAGGGAAACAACACCCTTTATAATAGCCACAAATAACAAAATATTGGGGTAGCTCTAACAAAACAAGTGAAAGACCTGTATGACAAGAACTTTAAGTCTTTGAAGAAAGAAATTTAAGAAGATATCAGAATATAGAAAGATTTCCCATGAACATGGATTGGTAGGATTAACTTAATAAAAATGGCAATCTTACTAAAAGCAATCTACAGATTCAATGCAATCCCCATCAAAATTCCAACACAATTCTTCACAGACCTTGAAATAACAATACTCAACTTCATATGGAAAAACAAAAAACCAAAGATAGCTAAAACAATCCTGTAAAATAAAGGAACTTCCAGAGGTATCACCATCCCTGACTTCAAGCTCTACTATAGAGCTATAGTAATAAAAACAGCCTGGTGTTGGCATAAAAACAGACAGGTGGATCAATGGAATCAAATCAAAGACCCTGACTTAAATCCACACACCTACAAACACCTGATTTTTGACAAGTAAGCCAAAATTATACAATAAAAAAAAGAAAATATCTTCAACAATTGGTGCATGTAGAAGAATGCAAATAGATCCATATTATTATCCTGCACAAAACTCAAGTCCAAG